TTCTTGTAAACAAGAAGGAACAGAACCAGCAAATATCGAATAAACATAATAGAGAAGGATAAACAAGAATGAAGAGAAGAACGAAGAAAGAATGATATGCCAAAACTTTATCCTCAAAGATTAAGATGAAAGATAAAACTTTATCTCAGTGCAAGAAAGGGGGGAATCCATCAATTTGCACTAGATAGGCTTGACTCAACTTTGTTCTCATGTGCGCGAATCTACACTAATGATCAACTTAACATAAGCCCAATAAGAACCTAAACTCAATAAAGAACAATAAACTCAATAGAGAACAATAAAGAGATTCTGAAGAACCTAATAAGTTACTCCACTTATCCCCAAACTTCTCCGAATTAATTTCTTACTTAATTTTGAGTTTTCCATTTTTTTTATTTTAATGCATCATTCGATAATCTAAGAGTAAATTAAGTGTATTAATGGATACTCGTTAACACATCTACTTTACTATATAAATTCATCCTGTATCCTAGCATTTATTATCCTCATTTTTACTCAAACACTTTTCCAACTTAATTCTAAATTTTTTTTTTAAAAACACCAACACCTTGAGCCCTTTTTAATGAGTTTCTATAAACACTAGTTACACAACTACATTAATTATGTAAAATAAACAAATGTATCTCTGTAATTGTACATCATCATATATGCATGGTAGGAAGAAGCAGTTATCACAACAAGTTTAAGCCGTGGTCAAATAAAAGAGTGAAGGGGGGGGGGGGGGATACAATGGGGTTTTGTTCATATCATAGTAGTACAATTTTCAAATCATAGAAGTACTATCAACTATGCCCATACCTCCTTTAAGTTGAATCAAATTTTACAAACCATAATCAACTTTACATAAAATTTGCACCAGCAGCCGAATGAAGAATGCATGGGAGAATAATTACACTTACCTTCTTGAGGTTTCTCATGGTTAAGTGAGAGCCTTACTCTGAATATCAAGATCACATTTCAGTGCCCATTACAATATGTCAGAAAAATCTAACCTAACTTCATCTTCGTATTATTTTTAGGATATTTAAAAATGTGAAAGTATCAGTGCAAGTTCTTTTTTTTTTTTTTTTTTTTAAGTATCAATACAATCTGAAAAGTCTGTAATGTTCCCACCCTATAGTTCTCGTACGAGTATTTCTATAAATCAAACTAGTGTTAGTTGTCCTATTTAGCTAGTATGATGGGCAACGTGGAATTCAATTTCAAGATGTATTAGTAATAGGTTAGACTAGAGGCGGCAAATTAGATTGAAATCCACTTATCCATCCATGTAATTAAACCACTATTATATGGATTTGGATGACTAAAATAAATCTAATGATTTTAAATGGATCACCATTTAAAATCAATTAAGTTGATGGATTTAAATGAATAAACCATTTTATCTATATTTATGCAATTATTAAAAAAAATATGGACGAAAAGTATAATCTGACTTATCTATCTCTCCCCGTTCCCTCAACAGGCGGCTCCCATGTCTTTCTTCTCCCGAAGAAGAACCTTGCCAGCATCACTATCATTCATCAGCCATCCTATTCTCATCAAACAAATTTGATCCCAAAAATTCCTATAACTAACTAGTTTTTGAAAAAAAATCCAAAACTCAGTCTTCTTTCTCTCAATAGTCTAGGCATCTCAAGTTCAACGAGAGCTCAAAGTATTTTTTTTTTCTGTGTGCAATTATGTGACATGCACTTTTGGAAAGGCCATCTTCCAAGTTTTGACAAATTTGTAAAATGCATATTGTACTATCAAAGGTTCTTTGGGTATATTGAAGTCTGAGAAGTGTGATCTTTAGATTTTTTTTTTTTTTGTGAATATTTACATTTGTTTTGATATATGATAGTGATTTGAAGCCAAATCAGAATCAAGGGACTCATTAGGAGTAGCCCATTTGATTAAAAAAAATAAAAGTTTGTATACAAAAGGACAAAAATGAAGTTCTCAGTGTATCTAAGGCATTTTTTTCATTGTAGCTCAAAACACGCATTTTTCAATTGTCCATACACATCAATACATGTGGTTATAATATACCGTGCACGTTAGTTAAATGATTTTTAAATGGACAATTGGATATCTATCATCCATTTAGATCCAATCTACATACAATCATTTATTATATGTATTTAAATGAATTGGATGCTATAATAATCTACAAATCTTTTATACGAAATCAATTATGATCCATATATCCATCTTGCCGCCTCTAGGTTAGATGCCTAAGAGATAAAAAGCCACGTAAGGCATACGGTAGCCTTGGGATTTTGTTTAGAATAAGTCAGATCCTCTGTCCGTCGTCTTTTATTTTGTGAGTTGCAGCCGCTGCAATGTGAATAGTAGTAGAAGAAGAAAATTCTTTGCCTCTTGATCCGTTTCCGGTGAATTTTTCCTTGTGAGTTTATGTCATTTGTCAATTTGGATCCATCAGTATTTAACTTCCTATTGGTTACGTCAAGCATGAGAGGTAGGAGATGGTTGTTGAACAACCCATAAGATAAAAGTCAATATGAGATTTTATTACCTTTAAATGACCTTTGAGGGAGATCAAGAATTGTGTATTCCAAAAAAAAAAAAGGAAAAAACTCAAGATGGAAGCAACAGAATGAGAAGGAGACATGGAACATCGTGCATGCATGATATAGATTGGTTCTCCGTTGGAGGAAATTCTGAAAAATGAATTAAGAAGAATATGAATCAGTAAGAAGTTGGATCAAATGAGGGAAAAGGAGGTGTACGTTTTGGCTAATAATCTATTTCGAATTACAATACTTTTTTCATAAAAAAAAAAAGAATACATACTTTCATTCCTTGAGATTTGGATCAATGGCAAAAAATAAATCAAGGATGCAACGAATACATCAATTTCGAGAAATACTTATGTAACATATTTGAAAAATAATTATAAAGAATAAGCTTGATAAATCATATGCAACCCAATAAATTAAATATCTGTACATGTCATTAATATCACCTTTAGATCTATTTTTTAACTTGTTCACACTAAAATTTTAGGTCTGACAAGAGAATCTAAGAAATTTCAGATCTAATAAATCCACTGATCTTACAAAAATAATCTCAAATTTAACAACAAAGAGACAAAAAAAAATTAAAAAAAACTCCGACTATGAGATCTTGGAGAAAAGAAAACTCCCACGAAATATTCTAAGTGAGAAGAAAATTCTCAATCCTAAAAAAATACTTTGCTATACATAAAAATATAAGAGGAGAAGGTCTCCATCCACGGAGAAAGTAAAGCCTAGTTTGTAGAGTGAGAGAGGGAAGAGAAACTTGGGTTTAAAGGGAAGGAAAATGTAAATTTCTATCATATCTTTTTAATTGGGCATTTAAGTTACAATACTTAAGATAAACAATCATGGTCAATCAAGAAGCTTTCTACGATTAGAAGCAAATATTCTAGAAGTCTTTGATAGCACTAGGTTGATTGACCAACTATTAAACGCAATTCCTTCTCCTTTTTTTTTAAATTAATTTCTTTGTTATACATCTTTGAATGCAAATAATATAAAAGTCTTTAGTCTTTAATAGAGATATTAATCAAGTGATAATGATGTACCTAGTTTGAGCGTCAAATCCTTTCATCTTCCCTTTTGCGTATAGCAGAGCTTGGAACGATGAAGAAACAAAGGTCATTTTATATGTCACAAGTTGGTCGATGGTGATGATAATCATTGGATTAACCATTCTCACACTGATAGTGTATATAATGTCGGCGGTGAATGAATGACAATAATACAAAATTTGAATTTGAAATTTAATTTTCATACATATGACATGGATCTAAATGTGATAATGTATACATCGTCAGTATATATTAGATTTACTCATAATAATAATAGAGTAAATCTTATATATACTGACAGTGTTTACAATATCACATTAGATTCATGATACATATACAAAAACTGGATTTAAAATTCAAATTTTTTGTAGTTATCATTCATCTAACGCTAGCTAGCAGTGTATATATTATCAGTATAAAAAAATTAATCCATAATAATAATAATAACAACAACAACAACAACACTTGAAACACTATGTATCTCTTCTCAAGTTTCCCTTATTCTGATAATATATAGAAGGGAATATTATGTCCTAAAAGGTAATCTACAATGTCACAACACTTTGCATTGGTTTCTCACAAGTCAACGAGCATATTGTACGCACGTCACAAATATTAGGGTGAAAATCACTTTTTGCCAAATATTTACGCTTACTACCACTCTTTCATCAAGTATAATTTAATTTGAAAATTATTAAGCTCAAAAAAATTACTAAAAAATTATTAAACAATATTTTAATCTAAATCGCGATATTAAGTATAAATGTTTGAACTCCAAAAACTCTTTTATCCTAGCCCTCGGATCCCAAGACACACCAATCCGTAATAGTCTATATCATAGTGGGCATCAATTTGATGATCTTGTCTTTTGTCTTCCCCCATCAAATTTCTTTTTAATTAATTTTCTTTTCTTTCTTTACAGGTTCATGGAATAAAGTTTGAAATTCAGATTATAATCACAAATCTAAGAACCAATCATGCATTAGACAAAGACATGATCCATTTCTTATTCTATTTCGGCAAATCACATGAATTATAGGCGTGAAAACAAGTGGAAGTAGAGGAGAGGAAGAAATTTCATACGTACATCATCTTTTAGACAAAACTATTTAAAGGATAAATCTCAATATGCATTTATGATCATCAAAGCAATACTAGTGTAATTAAAATCCAATTTGCATTTCCATACTTCACAAAAAAAAAAAAAGTGACCTACGATCGTGGAAAAAGGAGTAAGTACATACTTTTAAGTTCGTTAATTTTGCAAGCTATTGATGTAACAAATTGATGCCCATTATTATGCTTGAAGTTCACAAATGTGATGTGCATATTGCTAATATGGGATGTCTAAATCAATATGTAGAGAGAATATCCTTATTTTGGACAATTGTGTGTATTTGTATACAAGAATCAAATTGGATATGGTGAGAATCATATTGCTATACTATTTGGAATTCCTTTGCCAGTTATTCCACTTTCACTCGTAGGGAAAAGCAAGGTGTATGGTATGTTAACTGAATTTGATCCTCAATTCCAGACAGAGTTCTCCCAAATCTTTTAAAAGCTTCCAGTGGTTCTGAGTTCTTAGTCCATTCAGGATTCTCTCTTTGTCCGAGGTAAACCTCATCAGTAGTATGCCTTGACAAGATCTCAATGGTGGAAAGGCCAAGTAGAGTCTGGGGTTGGGATGCGATAGTTTTCAAGAAAGCCTTATCAGGATTAGACTTGAGCTCTTCATACTCTTCAGTACCAGGCTCTGGCATGAATCTGGGGCTCGTGGTGGGGCGATTTGGCTGAAAACCTGCATAAGGCCACTGTCCGAAATTGGTCGCTGCATGAAGAGCTGAAGCCAACCATATTATGATAGTGCATGAGTTAATCAGCTCTGTGATGGTCTTCATTTGAGGCCAACATTTTTCATCTTTCTTGTCGGCATGTCCCTTTTCTCTGAATTCTTTCCACCAGGCTTGGAGTTCAGTGTCTTGTTGAATCATCTGGTCAGCTTTGTAGAAAAAGGAGCAGTAGTCTGTGACCCAAGTTTTGATAGCTGACCAAATCTTTAATCCATCAACGGCATATGGATAGTCATGGATTATTAAGCGAAGGCCATATGGGGAAAACTTGAATCCTCAACTGCCATTTTTCGGTGGGAACCATCTCATTAATTGAAAATTCAAAAATTAGTGTCCAAATTTTCTAGCCAGAATTTATCAGAATACCATAAGAAAATGGTTGATGATAAACTTGCCTTTTAATTAGATCAGCAGGAAGTGCTTGCTCGGGAAACACCCAATCCCTATATTGAAGGGATGACATTTCCATTGCACACACTGAAGGAAACAATGTACTCTCAACAATTCCTTTTGCATTAGTCAGGATCTGACGACTTATCGCATTTATATTCATTGTGTCGCGGAAGTGAGGATGGAGAAGCTTATATACAGGATGGAGCACACTTAGTTGCCTGTTTGTTGCAATCACAATCGGCCCAATTACTGCATGTGTATGCAACCTGTCAACGGAGTCAATTTCATCAAATCTACCAGTTCAGATAAGAAACTAAATTTGCAGGAATGATAATAGCAGAAGCTTTTCAAAATTGTCTTGTACCAATGTGTGATGAGTTGGCGGATGCCAGAGTCATTGACTGCAACATAAGCTTTAGCCAGCTGCCAAATGGAATTCTCAACACCTTGTTCGGCAGGTGTGTATACTTTGCTAATGGAACCAAATTTATCGCCATCTGGATGAGGCAATCTTAGTTCAATTGCTAATGGCTTTAGTGTTCCATCTTTTTGTAGAAAGAGCAGTGTCCTAGAAGCGTAAGTTTTGGTAGGTGTAGCATTTATTCGCCTTAGATATGGCATAATTGTATCATGGTGATCCAAAATGAAAAGACGATTAGTCTTGATTGCCTGTGGTCAAAATTATACACAAATCACTCGAGTTAATGACGAATTACAAAAGCCACTATATTGATTAAACATATCAGAGATAGAAATTGATTTGCTTAGTCATACATCTTGAATTGTCATGCCCTCCAGTTTATTCTCTATATGTTTTCTGGTTATTGTACTAGACTGGTTACCATAGACCTTAGGATCTAGCTTGCTCGATGGAGGGAACACCTGAGGAACATGTAAAGAATATTAGCAAATGCTGTCAAATGAAGGAAATGGAGGGAAATGTGATGTGTGTGTGTATAGCCTCAATTTGCAAGTTTTTCCCTTTAGACTAAAAGCTAAATAACAGGGTTCCAAAGTCTACGTGAAGGCCTCTTATTATCACAGTGTTCAGTCCAGCCAACATTTCTCTTGCAAATTCTTCATCAGTCCTCCATGCAGATTTATTTCCTGTAGCAAAAGAATATAAACTCCTCAGGATTAACACTGGTATCTTTTGAAAGGTCTTCCACATGTAGATGTATGCACTAGATAGCAACTAAAGAAAGTTGAAGATCGAAAGTGCAGTTGGAACTTGGAAAACAAACTTTTGGATTACCTTCAATAATCTTGAGCAATGGGTATTTCAGAAGTCCTTCACCATCTGTCGGCAGCACTTGCTTCAAAAACTCAAGAGAGATGCCTTCGGTTAAGCTTTTGGGTATCTTGATTCCTCCTTCATAGATTTTCTGCACATCTTCAAAGCTGTCAAACTCCATAGAATTGCTGTCAGATTTATTCCCATACTCGGAGAGAAGGAATTGAGAAATCGACTTCAATTCGTAAGCAAGGAAGTCTGACATCTTCAAGTGTCCAAATCGCTCATCTCTTGGTACATAAATGTTTAGGCTCTCAAGCAGTGGCAACCCGCTCTCAGAGTTTGGATCTGACGAAAAACATAATTGAAAAGGAAAAAAACAATCAGTATACACTACATTAACCTCATCAACTTAATAGATTACCAACCTGTGACTCAGAGATGAGAAAAGAGCTAAGCATTTTGGAGAATTTTGAATATATCTGTAATCACAATAGTGGTTCAAATATATATCATTGCTGATAAAAATGACCTGTCTTAGTACATGGTCTCCCGGTTCTTCCCCTGCGAGGGTAAGGATACACGACAGATCCTCCCAAAATTGGACTAACGTAGCTTGCGTCCTTCCTGTCTGGATCTCCCAGATCATTATAACAAGCGTAGTCATATATTCTGTCCCATTCCTTAAGCTCTCCAGTTCCATCTCCTCTCAGGTTTGCTAATTCTGCTTCTCTGTAGAACTTCAGTGGTTCTGACGTGTTATTAGGAAGATATGCCTGTATAATTGTAACAATTGACAATTATGTACAGTCTAACATATATGCATCATTCATCCAGGAAATATACCCATAACAATGTTTGGTTAACTCTGTTGGCAAATACTAATTCAAGTATATTGAAAGGTTGTTTCCAGCTGATAAAAAGATAAAAACACAGAGGAGGACCTTTCAAGTTTCAACTGCAGTACCTTAGAGACTAAGCAGTTTCTGCTATCATGTATTATGTGTTTGACATAGTAATACCTGATTAGAGAAGAAAATGCGGTCTGTTTTGTATTTATCAGCTGGATAAACGCAAGAGTTGCAAACAAAGTGGATGCTATCATGTCCAGGAACATTTTCAAGAGTTAGAGTCTTGAGGTAAAACTCATATTGGTGAAAATTTTTTATTATGAAAGCTCCTGGAACTCCAATATCTTCATCCCAGTCAAATGTGACAGACAAGGCTGATTCACCAGCTTTTACAGAGGAAAATGTAGTGATCCAGTTTTCCAGGTAAGCAGGAGTCCCTAATTTCCCTTTCACCCGTTCCCTGCAAAGAAACATAACAGTATCCAATTCAGGTTACTTGTGTTTGCTAAGTCACTAAGTATACAGAAACATTCTTTGCTATGAAACTTTGACATCTTCTACTATTATATACACCTTAGCAAGAAAGTCATCAATTTGTTCTCAATTAATTTGCATATCATCCATTTCCAATATTGAGAAAAGTTATTGGAGTGTATAACTAATTCTATATTGATGGCAGGACCAACATCCTAAGCAATCAATTTCATCTTAGGATGTTAAATGTCCACTCAGTATGAAAAATATTTGAACTATTCAAAATGTGGAAAACTGTGACAAGATTAAGAACTGATCATTTAAACAGCAAAAGGTTTACTAACTAATTTTAAATCTTTGCATACAGGATCGATGATCAAGGCAATCACGAACGAATTCGACCTCCACTTTGGACAAAGGAAAAATGATATCATTCCATCAAGCTGCAATACAAGAATAATAACATGCATGAAAGCTTGTATAGATTAAAATGAGAGTGTTTTGGTTTAATCTGTTTGGAATTGCAGTAGTTTATCAAAAAGCACTTAATTAGTAGGGCTTTTGATCAAAGTATTTATAAAATGCTTAATCAAAGTGTTTGGGTGCATACTTGTGGATGTACTTTCTCTATTTGATAATGTGTAATTTTAAATTTCTAAAACATATTTATCTCTTCATTTAATTCAAAACTTATAATAAAATTGTTAAATTTAATTTTTTATTTTTTGGAACATAAAAGTTGCCCTAAAAATGCAAATTTTGAGCTTATGCCAAAAGTACTTTGTTGGCTAAAAGCTCTAGTACCCAATTTAAAGAATGATGGTCATCAAACACGTTAAAAGTACTTTTCTCTTCTGAAAGTTTTTTTTTTTTTTTAATCAAAAACACTACAACCCTAAATGGAGCTCAAGGCGAGTGCATGGGTGGGGAAGTGTATATGTGGTATAAAAGCTCATGAAGGGAGGGAGCAATGGCTAGACCGGGAAGTGTAGGAGACTATTTCCTTAGTCCTAAACCTAGAAGTTTGCATGACTAACTCTTTCAAGTACTGCTAGAAGTAAAATCGTCTTCTTTTTCCAACATAAAATCATAGGTCTTGATGACGTGCATACAGTGACGGAGCCAGGATTTTTTCTTTGGGGGGGGGCCAAAATTTTTTCGAACAAAATTATTTAAATATGTTATGTTCAAAATAATTTTCATCTATTTAAATATATGGCATCTTAAAATATCAAATATTAACTTTAATTATAAAGATATGTCTATTTCATAAATATGTAGCATAGTCATAACTAAAATTAAGACAAGAAATAACCTTTGATTAAATATCTTATAACATCACAAATCACCTAAGTTGCACATTATGAGAAGATGCTCCAATATGTCGCTTGAGCAAAAACAAAAATATAACTATGCAATATAATTATAACTATTTTCAATTAAAAAGAGATAAAAATTATGTTAACATGTCTTGAAATTTCATCCTCTTTTATTAAACGTAAATTGAGCTTTACGTTCTTTCATAGAACTAAATTCATCTATAATTGAATCAATGGTAAATTTTCGAACAACTTCCTTTTTTTATGTACATTGTTAGACAATCATTCAAGAAATTATCTTTTATCTTGTTTTGGAGTTTTGTTTTGATTATCTTCATAATTGAAAATGTCCATTCTATAGACTATAGAACGAAGCCAGGATTTTTTCTTTGGGAGGGGGGCCAAAATTTTTTTGAACAAAATTATCTTAATATATTATATTCAAAATAATTTTCATCGATTTAAATATATGACATCTTAAAATATCAAATATTAAATTTAATTATAAAGGTATGTCTATTTCATAAATATGCAGCATAGTCATAACAAAAATTAGAACAAGAAATAACCTTTGATTAAATATCTTATAACATTACAAACTATCCAAATTGTACATTATGAGAAGATGATCCAATACGTCACTTGTGCAAAAACAAAAATATAACTATGCAATATAAATATAACTATTTTCAATTAAAAAAAAGATAAAAGTTATGTTCGCACACCTTGAAATTTCAACCTCTTTTCTTAAAAGTAAATTGAGCTTTACATTATTTCATATAACCAATGATGGAGCCAAGGGGGGGCTGAGGGGGGCCATGGCCCCCCCTAAGTTTTGAAATTTTTAATTCATAGTATGTAAATATATGTATAAGAAAAAGTTGGCCCCCCCTAATTTTTTACAATTTTAGTTTATATTATGAGAGTTTATATATATATATATATATGTGTGTGTGTGTGTGTGTATGAATTAGCCACCTTTGATATAATTTTTTCTTCAAAAAAGTTATTTATTTTTTATTGTGCTAATTATTTAACATTCAAAAACTTAAATATATAATTTCATAATCCATAGTAAATTGACCCAATTTGACATATTATAATAAAAGACTCAATTCATAATTATGAATGGGCTAAAATAAAAATAATTACTTTATTAGTCCATATACAAATATACAACTTAGCCTAATTGATAAAAAAAATTAAAATTAATGATCTATCCTCTTGTTGACCCATATACAAATATACAAATAATTACTTGAAGGCTTGGTGAAGACAAGAAATTGAGTGATCTATCATGTTGTTGATAGATTGATTATATTTGTTTTCACTCTTCATGTATCAACTACAATTATAGAACAGACATTTTCAATTATAAATATAATCAAAACAAAACTGCAAAACAAGATAAAAGATAATTTCTTGAATGATTGTCTAACAATATACATAAAAAAGGGAAGTTGTTCAAAAATTTAGTACTGATTCAATTATAGATGAATTTAGTTATATGAAATAATGTAAAGCTCAATTTACTTTTAAGAAAAGAGGTTGAAATTTCAAGGTGTGCGAACATAACTTTTATCTTTTTTTTAATTGAAAATAGTTATATTTATATTGCATAGTTATATTTTTGTTTTTGCACAAGTGACGTATTGGATCATCTTCTCATAATGTACAATTTGGATAGTTTGTAATGTTATAAGATATTTAATCAAAGGTTATTTCTTGTTCTAATTTTTGTTATGACTATGCTGCATATTTATGAAATAGACATACCTTTATAATTAAATTTAATATTTGATATTTTAAGATGTCATATATTTAAATCGATGAAAATTATTTTGAATATAATATATTAAGATAATTTTGTTCAAAAAAATTTTGGCCCCCCTCCCAAAGAAAAAATCCTGGCTTCGTTCTATAGTCTATAGAATGGACATTTTCAATTATGAAGATAATCAAAACAAAACTCCAAAACAAGATAAAAGATAATTTCTTGAATGATTGTCTAACAATGTACATAAAAAAAGGAAGTTGTTCGAAAATTTACCATTGATTCAATTATAGATGAATTTAGTTCTATGAAAGAACGTAAAACTCAATTTACGTTTAATAAAAGAGGATGAAATTTCAAGACATGTTAACATAATTTTTATCTCTTTTTAATTGAAAATAGTTATAATTATATTGCATAGTTATATTTTTGTTTTTGCTCAAGCGACATATTGGAGCATCTTCTCATAATGTGCAACTTAGGTGATTTGTGATGTTATAAGATATTTAATCAAAAGTTATTTCTTGTCTTAATTTTAGTTATGACTATGCTACATATTTATGAAATAGACATATCTTTATAATTAAAGTTAATATTTGATATTTTAAGATGCCATATATTTAAATAGATGAAAATTATTTTGAACATAACATATTTAAATAATTTTGTTCGAAAAAATTTTGGCCCCCCCAAAGAAAAAATCCTGGCTCCGTCACTGCATATAACTAAATTCATCTATAATTGAATCAGTACTAAATTTTTGAACAACTTCCCTTTTTTATGTATATTGTTAGACAATCATTCAAGAAATTATCTTTTATCTTGTTTTGCAGTTTTGTTTTGATTATATTTATAATTGAAAATGTCTGTTCTATAATTGTAGTTGATACATGAAGAGTGAAAACAAATATAATCAATCTATCAACAACATGATAGATCATTCAATTTCTTGTCTTCACCAAGCCTTCAAGTAATTATTTGTATATTTGTATATGGGTCAACAAGAGGATAGATCACTAATTTTAATTTTTTTTATCAATTAGGCTAAGTTGTATATTTGTATATGGACTAATAAAGTAATTATTTTTATTTTAGCCCATTCATAATTATGAATTGAGTCTTTTATTATAATATATCAAATTGGGTCAATTTACTATGGATTATGAAATTATATATTTAATTTTTTGAATGTTAAATAATTAGCACAATAAAAAATAAATAACTTTTTTGAAGAAAAAATTATATCAAAGGTGGCTAATTCATACACACACACACACACACATATATATATATAAACTCTCATAATATAAACTAAAATTGTAAAAAATTAGGGGGGCCAACTTTGTCTTATACATATATTTACATACTATGAATTAAAAATTTCAAAACTTAGGCCCCTCAACCCCCCCTGGCTCCATCATTGCGTGCATAGCAACGATCACATGGAAGAAGTTAGTTATGGATCGAAAGCAAAATGCAGCAGAAGATGTATATTTAGGTACCTGAATGATCAGCCTTGACAGAACTGACGAGCTGCAAAGAGACCTTTTTACCAAGAAACTCATACAGGAGATCAACAACTGCAGCACTAAAGTCATTGAAGTCTAACACATGTTTCTTCATCAAAACCACTGTTCCCTTAATCTTCTGCTTTTTGCCATGAGCGTTTTTTCCTATGATGGCCTTCACAAACTTATTCTTTCAATAGTAACCCTTAATCCGAGATAAATCTCAAAAGCCGGCAACTCTTGAGGCCACCCAGAAAACTAATAATCTAACCCCAAACCCTCCCAATGATCGATGTGGGATTTTTGGAAAGGCCAGTAAAGCCACTGCTACTAAAGGTATACTAACCCCCATTACACTCAAAAACCTTTCCATACTTTCTTTTTCTTTCAACAGGAGAAATCAGAATTAAATCACTAATCCTTAATCTCAGGTAAATCTCAAAAGCCAACAACTCTTGAGGCCATCCAGGGAACTAATAATCTAACCCCAAACCCCCCCAATCACCGTCTCGTTCTTCCAAGAAAAAGAAATCAAATTGGTAGTGCACGAAGAAAATTATAGGTGATGAGCTTTTCAGATTGGAAGTGCTTTAAATAGAGGATAGCAGGTGTTTTGAATGACACGGGCAGAAACTTAATAAGGTTGTTTAATTTGTTGACCAAGGTCTATCTGCATAATTTATGGGTCAATGACCAAAAAACCTTCAATAAAGTAAAAGTTGGATGGAGTAAAATTTTTACCGACTTTTACTAGTTTGAGTGCAAGTATATGTAGAGACCTTGCTTGAAGCAATTTTTTGCACAGGCAATAACCATGACTAAACAAATTAACCGACACTGCACCATTTTCATTTTTTCTAACACATTCTACCTTCAATTGCGTTGTTCAGGTAACTATGCAAGTTCATTGTTTCTTTCTTTGGGTTAATTTAGAGAGACCAGCATTAATAGAAACTATTTTAATCTAGTCTAACACGGCGTGTGAGGATGCCCAGATAAATTATAGGTGCAGTAACATATGACAGGAATTCGATCTTTGAAAAGTTGGCAAAGAAGCATCACTTATAAAGAGACGGATAATGCTATTCACAAAACCTTTTCAAGATTCTTGCACGTTCGTTGTTTAAAGGGATAAATCTGACGTAGTATTCACCTGAAGCATGAGCATCAAAGCAACATAAATACAGCAGAGATATTGCATTTGTATACTTATAAGTTGTGACTTACTTCATTATTGAAAACGCAATAACTAAATGAATAACACAATACATATATGAAGTTACAATTTTAGGGCCACGCAAGAAATTTGAGTAACAAACTGATGCCCTATAGTAAGTTTAAAGTGTACAAAAGCAACAGTTTGAGGTTCATTCATAATGCAACGCGTACATCGTCACACATGCTATCTGACCAGTATGCAAATGATAATTGATACTTTTAGACAATTTTACGGACACTTTATTTTGTACTCTAGCTGTAACCATTTGGAATCATATTGCTATACTATTTGGAATTCCTCTGCCAGTTATTCCACTATCACTTGTAGGGAAAAGTAATGTATATGGTATATTAACTGGTCCAACCCTGTTTCTCCACTTTGGATCACCATTCATCTGTAGAATTTGATCCTCAATTTCAGACAGAGTTTGTCCAAATCTTTTAAAAGCTTCAAGTGGTTCTGTGTCCTTTGTCCATTGAGGATTCTCCCTTTGGCCGAGATAAACTTCATCGGTAGTGTGCCTGGATAAAATCTCAATGGTAGAAAGACCAAGTAGAGTCTGGAATTGGGGTGTGATAGTTTTCAAGAAAGCCTTATCAGGATTAGACTTCAGCTCTTCATACTCAAGAGTACCAGGTTCAGGCATGAATCTGCGGCTTGTGGTAGGGCGATTTGGCTGATAACCAGCATATGGCCACTGACCAAAATTAGTTGCTGCATGAAGAGCAGAAGACAACCATATTATTATAGTGCATGAGTCAATTAGTTCAGTGATGGTCTTCATTCGTGGCCACCATGGTTCATCTTTCTTGTCAGCATGCCCTTTTTCTCTTACTTCTTTCCACCAGGATTGGAGTTCAATGTCTTCTTGAATCATCTGATCACTTTTGTAGTAAAAGGAGCAGTAGTCTGTCACCCATGTTTTGATAGCTGACCAAATCTTCAAGCCATCGACAGCATAAGGATAATCCTCAATTAGTAAGCGAAGGCCAAAAGGGGAAGTTGAATCCTTGACTGCCATTTTTCTGAGGGAAATGGAAACAAAAGTAAGACATTCATTGATAACTTCAAAATTTCCACTCAAATTATATCATGCAGACATTCATCAGATCACAGAAGAAAAAGTTAAATTTTGAAACTTGCCTTTTAACAAGATCAGCAGGAAGTGCTTCCTCAGGAAACACCCAATCCCTGTAAAGAAAGGATGACATTTCCATCGCATACCTTGAAGGGAAAAGTGTGCTTTCAACAACTCCTTTTGCATTAGTCAGAATCTGACGAGCTATAGCATTTATGTTCATCGTGTCGCGGAAGTGAGGATGGAGAAGCTTATAAATAGGGTGAAGCACACTTAGCTGCCTGTTTGTTGCAATCACAATTGGCTCAATTACTGCATGTGTGCGCAACCTGTAACCAGAATGAAGTGTGTGAACATCAACTATTTTCAGATTAGAAAATTACTTTGCATCAATAATAACCGAAGCTTTTACAAAATGTCTTATACCAGTGTGTGATGAGCTGATGAATGCCCGAGTCATTTACTGCAACATAAGCTTTAGCCAGTTGCCAAATGGCATTCTCAACTCCTTGTTCAGCAGGTGTATATACTTCGCTAATAGCACCAAATTGATCTCCATCTGGATGTGGCAAGCTTAATTCAATTGCTACTGGCTTTAAAGTTCCATTTTCATGCAGAAAGAGCAATGTCCTTGAAGCATAAGTTTTCGTAGGTGTAGCATTTATTCGCCTCAGATATGGCATAATTGTGTCATGGTGGTTCAGAATGAAAAGACGATTTGTTTTGATTGCCTGTTGAGAGAAAATGTTACAGAATTTTGAATCACTGAGTGATGAGTAAAATCTGTTCTCATGAGAACCAATATCTTGATCGAACATGTCAATGGGATCCAAATTGAGCTATTATTCATACCTCTTCAACTGTCAATCCATCAAGTTTATTCTCAATGTGTTCTCTGGTTATTGTACTAGTATGATTTCCATAGACATTAGGATCTATCTTGCTCACTGGAGGGAACTCCTGGAGAAAATAAAAAGTATATCAGCAAATGCTGTGAAATGTAGGAAATTATATGTCTCTGTGCATAGTCCATATTTGCAATTTCTAATAGGGTTTGAAGTCTACCTTGAGGGCACTGATTATCACAGGATTCAATCCAGCAAGCATTTCTCTTGCAAATTCTTCATCTGTCCTCCATGCAGATCTATCCCCTGTAGCAAAACCATTAGAAGTCCTGGGCATCATAAGTGGCATCTTTTGAAAGGATTTCCACATCTTTACGTATATAGTGACTAACAAAAGTGGAAGATAGAGAAAGCAATAGGAAACTGGAACTTCTGGATTACCTTCAATAATCTTTGGCAATGGATATTTTAGAAGTCCTTCACCATCTGTTGGCAGAACTTGCTTGAGAATCTCGAGAGAGATGTTTTCAGTTAAGCTTTTAGGTAGCTTGATTCCTCCTTCGTAGATTTTCTGCATATCTTCAAAGCTGTCAAACTCGCTTGGTGTGCTGTCAAATTGAGCCTCCAATTCAGAGGAAAGTAACTGAGAAATGGATTTTAATCCATAAGCAAGGAAGTCTGACATCTTCAAGTGTCCGAATCGCTCATCTCTTGGCACATAAATATTTAGGCTCATAAGCAGTGGCAACCTGCTCTCAGATTTAGGATCTGATGCAGGAGATGGAAAAAATCAAAATGAGTTCAGGGCTCAACGTTTTGGAGAATTCTGAATATGTCATCAAACTCTATTGGCAATATTGCTTGAACTATGTTACAATTATGATAAACTGACCAGTCTTAGTGGGTGGTCTCCCTGTTCTTCCCCTGCGAGGGTAAGGATATTCAACAGATCCTCCCAGGACTGGACGGACATAGCTTGGATCATTCTTGTCAGGATCTCCCAGATCATTGTAATAAGCATAATCATATATCCTGTCCCATTCCTTGCGCTCTCCAGTTCCATCTCCTCTCAGGTTTACTAATTCTGCTTCCCTATAGAACTTCAGTGGTTCTGGAGTATTATGTGGAAGATATGCCTGCAGAAGCATAACAGTTATGTGCTCAGTGTAACAAAAAGACTCCATTTTATCCAGGAAAACATTCATGAACGTGTTGTCAAGAATCAGTGAGCTAAAACTAACTCAAGCTCATAGAAATGATGTCTCCAGCTGATCAAGATCAAAACACTGAAAGGGAGAACATCTATTAACTTAAGACCATGCAAAGCTATTTCCCTTTTACCCATCCAAGAATTTAATTCCACAATGCCTATCTTTGTTTTCCAATATCCTTTTTACTGCACCACCTCAGAGACCAAAAATCTCTTCTATCAGGTATTCTGCCATTCTGTGTTTAACATGTTAACACCTAATACCTGATTAGAGAAGAAAATGCGGTCTGTTTTGTATTTATCAGCTGGATAAACCCAAGAGTTGCAAACAAAATGGATACGCTCATGTCCCGGAACATCTTCTAGAGTTACTGTTTTAAGGTAAAACTCATTATGGTGAAGGTTCTTTATGATAAAAGCTCCTGGAGCTCCAACTTCTTCATCCCAGTCAAATGTGACATTGAAGGCTGATTCGCCAGCCGTTAAAGAGGTGAGTGTAGTGATCCAGTTCTCCAAGAATGCAGGAGTCCCTAACTTGCCTTTCAATGCATTCCCTGCAAAGAAACATGAGACCATCCAAGGTTCATTTTTTTTTTTTTTGGTATTATTTAATGTGATACTTTTTATCACATGATATATGCGAGATAAAAAAGCCATTCACAATATAAAAAATGTTCATTGAAAAACATAGGTAAAGAATAATACTATTTTCCAAATAGAGCAAATTTGTTTGCTAACCAAATCATAACCTTCAATTCCAATT